CCCCCCAGCAGCCCTCGAAAGTGGCGACAGTTTCACAGATCGCAACCCCCCAGGGATGGCGAGGTCGATTCTGAGTCTGCGTAGGGCGTCACTCCGCTGGCCACCCCAGCAGCCCTCGAAAGTGGCGACATCTTCGCAGATCGCAACCCCCCAGGGATAGCGAGGTCGAATCTGAACCTGCGTAAGACGTCACTCCGCTGGACCCCCCAGCAGCCTTCGAAAGTGGCGAAAGTTTCACAGATCGCAGCCCCCCAGGGATGGCGAGGTCTAATCTGAGTCTGCGTAGGGCGTCACCCCGCTGGACCCCCAGCAGCCCTCGAAAGTGGCGACATCTTCACAGATCGCAGCCCCCCAGGCATGGCGAGGTCGAATATGAGTCTGCGTGGGGCGTCACTCCGCTGGACCCCCCAGCAGCCCTCGAAAGTGGCGACAGTTTCACAGATCGCAACCCCCGAGGGATGGCGAGGTCGAATCTGCGTTTGCGTAGGGCGTCACTCCGCAAGTCACCCCAGCAGCCCTCGAAAGTAGCGACAGATTCACGGATCGCAGCCCCCAAGGATGGCGAGGTCGAATATGAGTCTGCGTGGGGCGTCACTCCGCTGGGCCCCCCAGCAGCCCTCGGAAGTGGCGACAGCTTCACAGATCGCAGCCCGAAGAGAGGAGGAGGGAAGAGAGGAGGAGGCGGGAGGAGGAAAAAGACGCGACCGCAGTGCTCTATTCAAAACGAGAACCCAACGCAGGAGGGTTGGGAAAACAATTAAGCGCGCACATTCGTTTATCAAAAACAATAAGCTTACAATAATCCCCTTTGCAGAAAATGGGACGAAGTGCGCACGCGCGCGTCGTCGCGCGCGCAGGCCGAAATCCTTCAAAAACCATCGGTGTCGGAAGGATTTCAACATTAACTGTCCAATCACAGATCTTTTTGAAAAAAATACAAAAAATGTCTCGCAATACGGTTTTCAAACAAAACAAACAACAACAAAACAAACAACATGCGCGCGCGTTCTTGCGATTCCTTAAGAAAACCATAGGTGTTCTAAAGGTTTTCAGAACATGCTGCCAAACGGGCTTCGCGCGCGCATGTCGAAATCGTTCGAACGCCCTTGCGCGCGTGCCGTACGCAAAACAATGAAATGCGCGACTTGCACGTTCAATTTCATGGATCGCACCACATGGATTGCACCACACTGTGCCACATCGGTTCTTTCATTTAGAAAATACTAAAATCCACCCCCTTGCCGAGGCAGGGCTTCTCCGTTCCCCTCGGCATTTTGCGCTGTCATATTTACTCTGCACGATCGTTCATGTCGAATACAACCCAATACCATGCCTAATGACGCGCTATCGCCCCTCCCCCCCCCCGCCACGTCATCCTTGTCAGTTTGTACCATGCGGCGCACGCGCGTTGATCGAACAAGCCGCATTAAACAAAGTCATCCGGGCCACATGCGCGAGCACCCGCGCGCGCATTACCCCAGCAAAGCACACTTATAGCAGCAAAGGTAGGGAGGCGGGTCGATGAGTAGGAGGTCGGTTCATGAAAACGTGCACTCCTAGGGATTCTTAGGGTACGTACGAAGTGCAGTTGGGACAATACCATTGGTCCTGTAACCAGTTCAACGTAGAGGTGCGTTGGACAACGTGTCAGACCCAGTGTTTGCTCAATAAACATCATGTCGGGATGTCTGCATGTCTTCTCGCGCGCGTGTCCTCACCATCTTCATCAACAGCATCGTCATCAGCATATCCAGCGTCGTCGATGCCACCGTCAGACCATCATCTCCATGGCCATCAACGTCGTCACCATCCCCACCGTCGTCATCAACATCGTCATCGTCGTTGCCGTTGTCATCGCCCTCGTCGTCAGCGCCGCCATCATGTTCATCATCATCATTATCATCAACACTCGCCCGCCCGAGCAATGAATCTGCATCAGAATGGCCATCCCGTCACGACGCCAGTTGGGTTGTGTCAACAAGTTGCGGGTGGGCAGGCGGGATGTCTGCACTAGCATTGGAAGTGGCCGCGCGCGGATGCCAGCGAGGCGAACTGAACCCCACACATTGCATTGCGTAGTGCGCGTCCCATATATCTGTAAATAGTATATACACACATATGTATTGATGTATGTGTATATGCATGTGTATGTATATGTATGTATACAGATATATACATGCGACTACGTATATATATATATATATATATATTGGATTCCGTTGGCTGCGCCGCATCTGTTACGTTCCACATGTTGCAGCACTGAACTTTTTCGCCGCATAGTTTGCATCACATCGTGTCCACCCCATATGTTGCATCCCACAGGCTGCGCCACGCACAGTGCACCACATGGATTGCACCGCATAGCTTGCACCCTACCACTGCACGGCAGAGATTGCATCTCTAAGGTAGCACCCCGTATTGCACTCTATGGATTGCACCGGGAACATTGCATTCGACGGCCACCATCATAGATCGTATATCCCGTAGCTTGCATCACATGTTGGACCACGTGTGCTGCACCACTTGTATCGCATCGCATAGAGTGCAGATCGAGGTTGCGAGAACCCACTGTTTGAGGGGCCACCCTGGCAGAACGAAAACATGGAGTTGTGAAGCATGCAACACAGCATCACCTACAGTTGCCACCACATTGTCATATAGCCCGTCTGGTCAACGGCTTCTACAACGGAAGACGGTTGCCCAAGTTGGTGAACATAGGCAGAGGGGGTGGATATGTACCCCGACATGACTTCAGCTTCGGGCATTATTGTGCGCCTCGGTTATACTATGAAGCCAGACGTGCGCGCACCATCCATCTCGAATGTGTGTGTGTTGTTCGAGTTGGGCCGATCAGCGAAGATGAGCGAAGGGAAGGGTGCCAATGTTGCTTTGGAATACGCGGAAAGTTCCGACACTTTTCCAAGGATTCCCAGAAGTTGAGGTTTTGCGAATACCAATGCCAGCGTCGAATAGTGCATCCCGCGTGCCAGCGTGTTCGGGTAGACCGCGCAGTTGGGGTGCACATGGTCACGCGTAATGCTCCACTCCACCTCGTCAATAGTTTGCCCCACTACTCTTCGGAGAGAACAGGAGTTATAGAGGTAGATAGATACAAAAAACACGAGAATGAAAGAGGGGGAAAAAGAGTGAGAGAGAGAGAGAGCGAGAGACAGAGGCCCGATATATAGAGAGAAACAGAGAAGGACAGAGACATACAGAGAGAGAGGGAGAGGCAGACAGACAGGCAGACAGACAGACAGACAGGCAGGCAGACAGGCGGGCAGACAGACGGACAGACAGACAAGCAGTCAGGCAGGCAGGCAGGCAGAGAGGCGGAGAGTCGCAGAAATGCAGAGAGCAAGGCAGAGACAGAGAGTGCGCGTGAGAGAGAGAGAGATGGAGGCAACGAGAGAAAGGAAGAGAGCAAGAGGCGGAAGAAAGCGCCCCGCGCAGGACCCCAGGCCAGAAATGGCGAAGCCGCACGGCGCGGGCAGCTTCGCGGTGTCCGAGCGCGGCTAGCAAAGGCAGTGCGTGCGGCCTCTCGGCAGGTGGTGTGGGCGAGGGGGGCGGCGGCGCGGCGCGGCGCGGAGGGGCCGAGAGAGGACGAGGAGCGGAGTGGCGGCGAGCGGAGACGTGGTGTGCCTTTTCAGGGGCTCCTTTCGATTCCTCCGATTCGATTCGGTTCGACCTCGATGGCCTCCGATTCCGGTTCGATTCGACTTCGGATTTCGATCTGGGCTCCGGTTTTTTTACTGGAGGCATGCCAGCCTGCCGATTTCCGCCGATTCGACTTCTCCCGACTCGGTTGCCGACTTCCGCCGATCCGATTCACTTCGATCGCCGATCCGACTTCTCGATTCGACTCTGGTCTCTCCTGCGAGCGGAGACGTTGCGTGCCCCTTCCTGGGGACGTCGGGCGGAGAGGCGGCCTGGCGGCGCGGAGCGAGCGAGGGCGAGAGCTTGGGGGGAGGGAGGCGCAGCTCAGAGGAGGCAAATGCACCCATACCGCTACCCTTCCCTCGTTTTCCCTTTTTGGTGGCCTCCTTGGGGGCCCTCGTCGCCACGGCTGGGTTCGCCTCGATGTTTGTTTTTGTCAGGGCGCACCCCAGGAGTGGTCCGGCGAGTGGCGGTATCTGTGCCTTTTGGTTTCCGCAGGGACGTCTCGGTTGTGGCGGTGGCAGCGCCTGCTACGTGGCCATCCCATCCCCCCCGTTCCGTCCCTCTCGTTGCTCACTGTCCGTGTTCTGCCTCTTCCCCGTGTCTCCGACTCTCTTTCTATCGATATGTCATCGTTTGAGTGCCCACTCTCCACGTGCACATTGACTTTTCAAATTTGCGACCATGACCGAGCACCGCGCGCCTCGTTGTTTTTCTTACCGTATCCTCCCCATCCTCTCCCCAGCCCTGCCTTGCCCTAATCTGCCCGACGCTGCCCTGCAGTCCCAGTCCGATCGCCTTCCCCCCCATCTACCTGCCTTCTCCTCTCCTCCCTCGCCCCGCCCTCCTGCCCCAATGTCCTTCCTTACCCCATCCCCCTTCCCTCGCCCCTCCTTTTTCCCCCCTCTCCCCACTCCCCCCCCCACACCCACATCCGTCACCACCCGTGTCTCATACGAGTGTCTCTTACTCGAAAGCGTTGCAAATACGGTTTGCGAATGCCTTCCCGTCGGTGCGAGGCGTCTCTTTTCCGAAGTCGGAACATATGTGTTCGATTTGCACTCATCGGTCGAGCGATCCAGCTCTCATATGACTGTACAATGATTAGTGTTGGCCCCCGTGGAATTGCATAACCTACGAGAGACATGAGCGGTGCAAGGGGAACAGGGGCAGCTCGGCCGGCGAAGTGTGGTCCACCATGCGCGGCAGGAAAGCGAACATAGATAGCTTTAGTCGGGCGGCGCGCAGGAGTGGCAGAACCCCATGGCGCGTCACGGAACGAGGACGACCGATCTCGACGTCAACCGAGTTCAGCAGCGTGCATGCGAGGGGCACGGGTTGCAAGCACTACTCGAATCAGGAGGCCCGTGATAGGGTGGGTGCCTACTAGCTTCCCTCGCGAGCAGTTGGAGAACGAGTCGGTTCCGCACACCGACGGCATCGGTGAAGTTGTGTCGCGACTCCGCTCTTCTCATAAGCGTGGGAATTGATCCACAGTTTTCAAATTGCGGTGTGGTTGCATGGCGGGCGTGCACTCGAGAGTGTGTGCTCGAGGCTGGCGCTAAGGCTGTAACGTTTCCTTGGTGGTTCGCAACCCCCCCCCGAAGGTCCAGGCCAACGAAGCGGGCAACGGCGAGGCAGATACGAAGTCGGTTGCAGACGTTGCCGCCAGAACCTGCTGCGACATGAAAGTGGTGCATAAGTTGGAGTCGCGGCGTAACATTGTGAATACAAGCCATTCGCAAGATCTCGTTGTACATTGTCGTAAGCACGGTGGTTCAAGCATGTATTCTGAACCAGTCCCCTGTAAAACCAGCTGTGTCCATGGGCGGCACATGGTCGCGCGTTCCCAAGACTAGCATCCCCAGGAGAATTGTTTTGTGCGCCGCTTGTGTGCCTATCACTGCGGCTGGGCGTGCGGACGACGAGGCTCCTCCGCTGCCTGCGGACGACCTGGAACTGTGCGTCGCGAGCTTCTCCGAATGCCTCGCCACCTTGGCCGCCGCGAACGCCACGGGAGGGCAGGACGAGGAGGAGCTGGCCTTCAGCATCCTCGGCTCGTGGATGAAGGGCCTCTACGTGCGCCAGGAGGCCCCGCGGCTGGCCGAGGACGGCGCTTGGCGCGCGGAGGTCCTGGAGCGCTTGCAGAGCCTGGCCCTCCTCAGCCTTGGGCAGCCGAGCACGGCCATCGGAGTCGGGCAGATGCTCTTCCTCTACTTCTGGTGGGGGGTGCAGCCGCCGCCCAGCGGTGATGCACGGAGCCGGGGCGGGGCCGCGCCGCGGCCGCGCGGGCCAGACGTCTCCGTCGCCATGGCCGCGGCGGAGCTCCACGGGCGGAGCATCTCCTTCAGCGGCTGCGATTCCCGCGCGACGTCCCTGGAGTCGTTCGAGTCCAAGAAGTGTCCCTGGCGGTGGCGGTTCCTCTTGCTGTTCCTCGTCGAGCTGGGGAGGAAGCTGGCGGTTGAGGGGCACGACCTTGCCGGTGGAGCTAGACAAATGCGACGGGCAGAGGTTCATCTTGGAGCAATGCGTGCATTGCCTTACTTCTCGCGGCATCAGACCTTGTTGGAAGGCCCTTACAGGACCAATCACAACGATGATTTCTTCCCTGAGGCGAAGCATTTGCCAATTTGGCCCCGAGAAATGTGGCCAGAGTTCGCCTTCTTTCTGGAATCGCATGCTCACGTCTTCCTCGCAGAGCTCGCCCAGTTGATATCTGCCGACGTTGAAGACGAGATCTTCCGCACGGTGCAGCAGCAGCAGACCGAGTTCACGCCACTGCCCAAGGACTGGGGCTTGCTTGACCTGGTGCGCCAGGGCAATGCGACGGCGGCGTGCCCGTACGCTCCTGCAAGTTGCCGCCTTCTCCAGGCGCGGCCTGAGATCGACGGGCGTTGTTTCTCCGACCGCGTGCCAAACGCAGGGGTAGCGTTTGCGAGGCTCCTGCCGGGCACCGAGGTCAAGCCCCACTTTGCCACGGAGCCACGGCTCGCGGTGCACCTGGGGCTGATCACGCCGCCGGGGCCGGCCATGAAGGTGGCCAACGAAACCGCCACGTGGTCGCAGGGTGAAGCCGTGGTTTTCGACGATACGTACTTTCACTCTGTCCGGCACGAGGGGGAGGAACCGAGATTCGTGCTCCTGGCATGGATTTGCCACCCTTGCGATCTGAGCTGGCGCAGTCGCAACGGGGAGGAATGGGTTCGGGACAACCCCTTACCAAGGTGGTGCGGACCAGATGAAAAGGTGAATGTCGGATAAGATCAGCCTAAGAGAGAGAAGTAGCAGGAAATCAGTGTGGGACTTGATATCAGCGTTAAAATTTCGGACGACAGTTCAGTGGCTGGATGGATGGCGGCGGGTATGTCGAGAGAAACCAGACTGTAGTAAAGACACCGTCCCGTCGTCAAGATCAACGTCTTGTTATGATGACAAGGAGCCGGACCAAAAGAAGTTCCCGCGGTGCCGTTGGGGCTTTTCACACGCTTGACAACCGAGACGCAACGTGGGCGGTGATCGGGTGGTCCTGCAGGTTCCAGGGACGTCCAGGGGACAATCTGGCAGTATGGGGAAGGCCAAAAAACGCAGTGAAGCTTCATGATATTTCATCTACCCACCACTCCCTTTTCCCTTCCTCAAAGATGATACCCCACCCCTTTATCCAAAGTTCTTCGCGGTGCAACGGTGGCCTGCAATACTTCAAAGATGTACACATTGGGTTTCCTTGGCTTGCCCCACCGGTTCTGGCGGTATTGGGTTGCACCCTGGTAGCCCATTGCTACCAGTTTCTTTGGGTTTAATCCCTCGAGTCCTTCAGGCCCCCCCCCTCGACTACCTTTGAAA